TTATAACCTTACAGGGAAATAAGCCTTGTTCTTTCAAAGAGTCAAGGAGGGTGACTATCTGTGGAAGAAACAGATACAGCAGTCATGACCTCCAGTCACTACTCATTTTACTTTGACTGTTCCAGGCCTCATGTGCAAACTTTAAATGATGCGTTCTGCTAGGATGAGGATGTTTTCTTTGCTTTTCTCACCGTGTGGGAAGTCATCATTTCTCTGCTCCTTAATGCCAACCCTCCCTCGCGCAGCCATGACCCAGCTGTTTCCATGGACTAACCACGCACTAACCATGCACTAACCATGTAGTAGGGTTCAGCAGAAGCCTAGTCTAGGACACTCTGGTCAAGAACTATAGAAAAATGACAGCTGTGGGTCTTTGTTTAAAGAAGATCCTTCCATTTGAAATAGAAAAGAAAAAATAAAGTAGAAAAAATGTATCTAAAAGAAGTAGGGTTCACACCAGGACTGACACGTGTGAACTCACAGAGACTGGGGCAACATGCACAGGGCCTGCACAGGTCCAAGACACGTGGGGCCCCAGTGCTGAGAGCAGAAGTGGACATGGGCTCCCATTCCTAACCCGGAAGCCATCTCCAACTGATAACCACTCACAAAGGAAAATTTCATTTTCTCCAGCAGAATCTCACTGGGCATCCAAAGCACACTTAAGGGCAGGCCTGTGTGCAGCAGAAGACGCCAATACAAAATGATCTCGGCGGTATTTCTGGAGATTTTTGTCTCATGTCACTTTGTTTGGGCACTTTTTATCTTATTGGCCTTTTTCTAGTGTATTGTGGTTTTTGACTTTGTATTTTTTATGAGTTTTGGGTTTGTATGTGTGTGTGTGTGTGTGTGTGTGTGTGTGTGTGTGTGTGTCTGTCTGTCTGTCTGTGTATGTGTATGTGTTTCCTATGTTTTTTTTTCCTTTTCTAAAATTCTCATCTCGTTGTTTTGGCTTTGTTGTTGTGTTTTGGTTTTCGTTTGCTTGCTTGCTTGCCTTTTAGGGTGTTTTCCCTGTTTGTCCTTTGAAGACAGACAGAAAGAAGGCATAGGAAGGAGTTGGGTGGGTGGGGAGGCAGGAAGTATCTGGGAGGAAGGAGATGGGAGAGAGGAAACTGTGATCAGAAGAAGGCTTACAGAAGGCCTGGCGCTGTGCATGTCCCTGGTAATCAAAAGGACAGTACTGCCTTGTTGGCTTTGGCATGAGTAGAAGGAGGGAGGGAGGGACAGCACAGGGTTTGGGAAAACTTCTAAGAGACTTGAATCTGATCCACTATTGCAGGAAAAAACAAAATCCAGAGGGAAGGCCGAGGGCCCTGTTTGCTATATTCTGTAATCAACGTGTATATGATGGAATTTGTTTTCATCAAACAACGATCGTGAAAATATGTGAGTTGATGAACACTGTAGATGAATGAGTTTGAGTGTTAAAATAATTGGCAACTTAATGGATGAGAAACAACTATGTCTATTTATGTACACATTCTGCGAGCGTGTTCATGAGCACATGGGTGAGCAGGTACGCATGCCTGTGTATGAGCATGCGTGTGGACCAAAGAGCAACCTCAGATGCCATTGCTCAGGCTACACCTATATGCTGTCTTCTGAAACAGGGTCTCTCACTAGCCTGGAGTCTGCCAACTAAGCTAGGCTAAATGGTCAGTGAGGCTAGGGATCCGCCCGAATCTACCTCCCCAGTCCTGATAGTCCAGGAATGGACTGCAATGCCTGGACTTGTTAGGTGTGTTCTCACAACAGAACTTAGGCTTCGGTGCTTGCAAGGCAAATGCTTTCCCAAGGGAGCCATCTCCCTGGCATTGTATGTCTTTTTGTTTAAAATTCTTTTAACTTTGCTAACATTATAATTCAGTAAACTACCCTGTGATGCCATTGGGATAATATCAAACACCCAGAAAAGTCCACAGTGTTTCTCAAAGTGTAAAGACGGATTTAAGAGAATGTTTTAGTCATTGGTGAAAATTCCACACGATTGTTCAGATTTGCAAAGGAGTTTCAATGTTTTTACTTTACACCCAGAACTGAAAGTTCTCTAAAGTGAGGGATCATGTTGAATAAAGACTATTACGTCATTTTCCAGTCAGACCTTAGACTAGTCAGGGTCTTAGTTAACGTACACAACACTTTGATATTACTTCCAGCAAATCCTAGAATTATTTCACTTACACTGACATATGGCCACAGTTCTGCCCTAGGGAAGCCATCATGGCCTTGTACCTGCTCTTTGTGGTTTAATGACTCACTTCCCTGCTTGATTTTTCTCTAACAACTCTAGGAAGCCCTAGTCACAGAGTGGCAATAGTTTATTTAGAGATAACTGAAACAGCTACATAGAAAATCCACAGAGCATATTAGTCCTTTGCTTATGCGGGATGGTTGATTTTCTATGTCACCACAGCTTGGAAGTCATTATAATATTAATTATAAGTAAAATTAACTAGGAACTGGAATCCAAAAGGAGACATTTTCAGATAGTATTTGTTTCTAACCCATTTCATTTTACATTATTTACCAAGAAAATATGTAGCATTCATTGTTACTGTAGGCTTGTGTCACAAAAGGCAGTCAAGTTGGCCATTAAAGACCTGTGTTCTGTATAATGACCACTCTTGATAAAGGCATGGAACACACAAACTTCCTTACAATGTGCACTCTCTGCATTGGAAATTAAACTCGACGATCATCTGTATCAAGGATACAGATTGTATATATTGAGTTTCGTACAATTTCATTTCCGGTCCAAACATTTCTCTAAAACAAATAAATATAAATGGAAGCTCCCTCCAAAAAAAAATAATTTTTGGAAAAACAGAATATCATCAATGATGCGATTATCTCTGATTTGCTGAAGGGTCAATTTAGATTTAAAACGTTTATTCTAATTTTGTTGGCTGTTGAGTCTCAACTGTCAAAACAGAAGAACAACTCTGAGAAGGAAGTGGCGAGCTCATTTCCAGCTCATAGGACAGCCTGGCTCTGTGGAACCAAGTGACCTGTGACAGCCACGCCCCACACTGATGAGGAACCCTGGCCTTTTGTCTCCGAAAGCACGTGAGCTGCCATAGGCAGACGGCAGCTCTGCTCTGACCAATGATGATGTGCCTCCCTCCCTGTTTTTAATGTACTTTACTCCAAAGGCCAAAGCACAAAGAATGATTCCCGTGTGTAAGATCAGTGCTGACGTGGGAACACTGCTCGCAGCCATACTGTGATCCCCAACCTACAAACAGCTGTGACTTGATGTAAAGCAACATTCTCCCGCAGTCACACCTGATGTGTGCCTCTGGACAAAGGCATGGGAGGCAGAGGATTGTGAGAATGGACGGAAGGGCGACAGGGTTGCCTCGGCCTCCAGACCAGCACTGGTCAGCAAAAACAAGAACCTCCCCTCATCAGACTGTGCATGTGGCTTAAAATGTGCTGACATCAACAGTTAGGGAGGGACAAGATCAACTTTAGCAATGTGTTTTACTTCAGTACAGTCAAAATGTTGTCTCTTAACTCATAACCAATATGTGCTCATTACTGGTTCATTTTATATGCTTTGCTTATCTTTACACAGGGTTACGAGTTACATTCATTCAGCACTTGTAATTCAATTTATGATTTCAAGTGCTGAGAAGCAACATATGGCCCAAGGGTCTTTATTATTAAGGGCCAGAAGAGAAGAGCTCTTCATGCTGACGCTGGGGCTCAGCAAATACTACACTAATGGGCAGCAGAATGTGTAAATGCCTATATGCCATTAACTTCTCATTGAGTCATACTAAAACAAAACTTATAATCTTCCTTACATAATAAAAAAATTACTGAGTAGAACTTTATCAAATAAAATGATTAACAGAGTTATCTGCCTCACTTCTTGTTGACAAAAATCCCAAAATTGATATGTAATAATTATTCTGCACTGCCAACTGAGGTTCTTGACCACCATTTCCACTAGCATTCATGAGTAAGACATTCTACATTTGTCAAAGTATATTCTCCTGTGACTGTGTGTTTATTCTCTACATATCATAAACACAAATGTGTACTTTTACTAGAGAGTGAACCCCTGGTCACTGAAGAAATTCATCTGCTTTAGTACTTTCATACATACACAGCATGAAACATAGATGGAAGGCAATGACCTCATCTTTATGTGTGTGTGATCAAGTGTGTGGGTGCAGGAGGATGTCAGAGGTCATTGCCAGGTGTCCCTTCAAACATGCTCCAACTTAGGTTTTGAGTCACTAAGCCTGCAGGCCCCTGATTGGCTGAGTAAGGTCTGCCCACCCTGGAGAAGCAGGTGTGAGCTTCTGCACTTGGCTTTTACGTGGGTGCTGGGGGCTTGAACTCAGGTCCTCCTTCTTATTCGAGCACTTTACATACGCCCGAAACCATTTCCCTGGCTCCACAATTATCTATTTATATACCATATCTCACCAGCTCAAATTCAAGTAAATAAAGTCCTCTTAAGCTCACCTGCCCTCTGTTAATTTGAACAATAATCATGGTTTCTAAGGGTGGAAGTTCACTCTTTACTGAGGCTAGGCTACAGTGGCCTATCTAATCCTGCCTCCCTAAGGATCCGTAGACTGAAGCTTAGACAGGGAGAGGAAAGGGGGAACTCATCTTCCGAGACAAAATTGGAATTTTGTTACACACTGTGACGTCTTTTGATAATTATGTTTTTGTTGTTTCTTTATTACTATGTTTTATTTAGAATCTCGTGGTCTCCACCAGAGACCACTACAAAGCTGCCATTCCTATTTTGGCTCATAGGGAAAAATTATTTAAGAAGAAAAGGTCTATTGGGTAATTAATTATAAGTCATCATGGTAGGCTGTCTGCAGTGGTGGTATAGAAATCTTCACTTGGTTGCGACAAGCACTCCACTTACCCAACTGTCTGCTTCTGTCTTTACTCTGCTGGTGAAATCATTAGAGGGCTTAAAGGGAGAGAAAACAAACCAGGCAGAGCCTCAGCCAAAGGTACAAGGATACAGTCCCTTCCGGGAAAGAGGATTTTGTGGCGAACCATCTCTCCCATGATGCATCCCACAGACCATATATCCACTAGAACAGGAGAAAGGGAGTGAAGACAGAGGAGGAAAGCAAGGTTAACTAAGGCAACCTGCTGTAACAACTGGAAAACAACGTTCACATCCCACCTACAGTGGCGTATGTGAGTTAAGATCTGCACTGAACTACCACAAGGTTTCTAAGGAGAGAGCTGATTCATGTGTGCATGAGTGGTTGGGGTCAGGGGCAGGAGAACCAACAGAATGAACCAACAGTATGTTCAGGCAGGTGCCAGCTAAAGGCCGTGGAGTTTTGATAGCATTTGCTGGACTGTGTTCACTTCCCGTTTTACTCCACTGTGTGGAGCAGAGCCACAAGAGAACACCTGTTTGTCCCAAATAAGCATTCATTCAACCAAATACAAGAGACTGGGAAATGGTTGGTGAGCTTTGCAAGTGAGAAATCTTAATTCCTGTGTTAGACAGTTGATTTTTTCACTCAGAAATTATCCTTTAAGATAAACATCAGCTTTAATTTCTATCTGAAATATTTTGAGAAAGTGATAATTTAGAATGCACACAAAGGAGCCATTTAGAAGTGAAAATGCATAAAAGGTGTTAAAATTTAAGTACATGTGCTTATTTCCCAATTGTCTGTTAACCCAACACGTCTCTTCCCAACCTTAACTTTCTGGGTTTCAGTTGATTAGTAAGGAGGGGATTTTGAAACAAAAACATTCAGCGGAGTTGCTCAGAGGGGGGGAAGGCAGGGTGAGGTACACAGGAGGGGCATGCCTGAGGCAATGTCAAGCTGGGTTTGTTTGTTTGTTGTTTGTTTCTGCATGATAACCACCCTCTGCTGAGAGGGAAGACAGCAGGAGGGTACCGAGACACTTCCATTAACCGAGAGAGGCTAAGAATGAAGGCTTTCTTGTCACTTTTTGTACCCGTTCAAATAAGGAAAGGGTCTGTGTGATAAAGACCTAAAATCCCAGACCAGGCAGCCAGGTTCTGTACATCCTCAACTCTCTTACCTTTTGTGACACAGAGAAATCATAGGAAGGAGATCTGCTAAATGCAATCAGGTAATTAGAATATCCCAAACCCCAAGCATTTATCACTTCATTAGGTGGAAATAGCTTCCCCTTGAAATAGACAATAAATCACTGTTAACTACTGTCCTTAATTCCTGACTTTTCTTTAACTGATCATGCTTGGCTTTTACTTGGGAGGAGGACTCCAACGACATCCAAGTGAGCCTGGCTTTAGAGGGGCCGATTTTCCCCTTGACACACACAAAGACATCAATAATTCTGTTCTTCCCTAGACTGGAAGTACACAAGTAACTGCTTTTAGCTTCGGTGGCCAGAGAATTTTTATCAATGCACTCCGCAGTAACTATATTCAACAACACAATAGTAGTTGTTTTCATAAAATGTATGGAAATAGATTGCTAGGAATCGAATATATATAATTAAAAAATCGGGTGTTCAGGGTACATATACAAATCTAACTTAAAGAGAATATAAATTTTAAGTATATTAAATACGGTTTTCAACATGGCTCTCTATAATAAGTATTCCAGAAAAAAAAAAAAGATAGATTGTTAGGCGTTCTAAGAAGCACTTTATAAACCCCCTATTTTAATTGATCAAAAGTCAGTTTGAATTTCAAATATTTTCTATATCTTTCACACGTTCTTGTACATTAGATTTTCTTGTAAAAAAAAAAAAAGTATAATTTAATTTTTTTCCCGTTCTGTGGCCTCTAGAATTTGTTAAGATTTACTAGATAGTTGCTGCCCTAAATATTACTTACAGAGCGTTTGATATACAAACAAGAAGCTTATAGTGTGAATAGTTAGAATAGCGCTAACGCCGCTGTTCATTTGGTGTGTGAAGAATGTTGTTCCAAGATTCTATAATCCCTTCGTAGTCTTTCCTGAGGACCACAGGCATCGACCTGAGATGTGACAGAGAAGCCCAGGGAACTAAAGCATCTCTCTCACAGGTGTCGGGACTATGCCCCAATTCAGTTAGCAGCGGTTCTTGTCCCTGCTGAGGCCCGTGTGCCCTCAGCTGCCGCAGGCCTGAAGACTCACTCTATCTCAGCTGTTTCCACCTATCACACTTTAGAGTCCCTGTAGCCCGGCCTGCCTCACAGAAACACCCTTCACATTCCTCGCGCAGGCTGAGCGCTATTTAAGAACGCTGGCAGCTGTTTGTCTCCGAAGAATTGGCCTATAACAAAACGAGCATAACTCCCAGTGATCTAGAGCTCGGACCCGCTCCTTCACCGTTCCGGAACCGCCCCTACCGTTCTCCTTGTAGCCCATTCCCAGGATGACCTCGGGGGCTCTGTAATATCGCGTCACCACATACGGGGTCATCATGAAGCTTGTGCCCGCTGTCCTGGCCAGTCCGAAGTCGAGGATTTTCAGCGTGCAATCAGACTTGACTACAATGTTGCTGGGCTTTAAATCCTGGCAATAGGAACGGAGGTGGGTGGTGAAAGTGAGTATCTACAGGAACCACAATTTCTTTCTAATACTACATAATGGCTTGCTGCAGGGCCCTGAAGGGTTATTGTGTCGAGTTTACAATTAGTTTTAGATTTCTAAAATGCCCTTATAAGGGTTTTTGGGTTTTTGTTTGTTTGTTTCTTTGTTTGTTTTTGGTTTTTCAAGGGTTTCTCTGGCTGTCCTCCACACGAAGCTCCGCCTGCCTTTGCCTCCCAAGTGCTGGGATTAAAGGCGTGTGCCACCACCATCCACCCTTACACAATATTTTAAGTTCAGAAGAGAACTGTATAGTTATTTTTACAATTTAGGCTCCTATTGGGAAGAAGCCTTGGGGGAATGACGTCATTGGCTGTCATCTCTTGGACTTCCCTCTAGGACAGCATAAACCCTTTAGGGTACATATCATTTCTAAGCCTGACAGGGTTGCAGATCAGCGGAGTCTCATTTAGGTCGCCGGAAAGGAAGTATGGAAATAAGCCGTCTTATTTCGGCTACTCATCCGACTTCCCACCGTCAAAGGGCTAGGAAACTCGAGGAATTTCAGAAGTTGATGCTCAGTAAGCCAATATTCAAACTCAAATTCTACCAGAGCACAGACTAGAAGTCCCCTCCACGCATCACTCAACCGGGTGCTAACGCTGCCCGCTAGGAAATTACCAAGTCCTTGCTGTGTGAGCACCCCTGCCTGAGAAAATAATCCAACGCTCTTTCCTCTGTCCATACTGCCCGCCCACCCCCACCTCCCCCCCCGGCAGTCAGCACCCTGCAACGCTAAAGCGAGCGCTCTCACCCTGTGGATAATCCCGGCAGAATGGAGATGCTTGATGCCACACAGCATCTGGTACAGCAGGTAAGACATCCGCTCGTGGTCCAGCTCCATCTGAATCACCTGACACAAGTTGGCGTCCATCAGCTCCATCACTAAGTAACTGGAAGGTAAATCCACGACGTTAGTTGTTAGTTGCGGCACCTCCGTGCTCAACCCATGCGCCACCGACAACCCTTCTGCGGGGGTCGTCTAAGGCCATCAAAACACACAGATGTTTATCTTCCGATGTATAACAGTAGCAAAATTACAGTTAGGAAGTAGCAACAAAATTCATTTCGTGTGGAGGGTTTTTGCCACAGCATGAGGAACTGTAATTCAAGGGTCACAGCCTTAGGGAGGTTGAGGACCACTGATCTAGAACGACCTTCAGTCACCCTTGGAACCCTGCACTTAGTCAGAGTTTGTTGAACTCCCCAACGCTGTAATTGCTTGAGCCGAGACTATGGAAAACTTCCCAGACTATCATGAGTGACAGCTGCAGTTACTCTACAGAGGGAAGACAGCAGCGGCAGCATTTGTTAGCCCGTGGTTTAGGTCCATCTGTTTCCTAGCCTCTACCTGATCTACTTTTCCCTGTATTTCCTTAACTGTCTCCCAAGCATTATGATGACAACTGAGGAAAGACTGAGGACAGCCACGCTTGAAAGGGTGCTGCAGCTATGGGAAGAAGAAACTGCTCTACAAATACTGCCCCTCTGTCTACGTTTGCCGCTGCCTTCCTAGACAGATAATTTCGCACAAAATTTAAGGTTTCGAAAAGACAGGAAAAAATATTTTACAAATAAATTTACCCATCCTAGAAATCTCACAGAATTGATGAGCAATGTCTTCTTTGCTTCCCTGGTCTACCAAGAGAGTGGAAGAACAAGGCGCATGGGCCAGAAAGAGGCAGGCATGTCCCTCGGGAGGTCACAGAACAGCATGGAAGAACTTTCCCCATATACTGCTCTGGGTTCTGTCCCTTAGGTCCCTTTGATCTTTGCAAGGAATTTCATCCCTTTTGTTCTTATTCCTATTTCTTGTTTTTGTCATTTCTTCTGGAGTTCTCTGACTGAGCGCTGGGCTCAACCTTCCTTCATTACTTTTGTTGTTTTGTTACTTACACATCTTGGAACTCCTCCAGCGTTTTCTGGGGTGTGAAAACATTTAATAAGCTAATAATCTGGAAGAGAGAGCATGAAAGAGACAAAGAAGAGAAAGAAAACAGAAAGTTAATTACTTTTAAAGTATGAACGAATTTATTCACTTAGTAAATCCATGATGGAAACAGAAAAGATTGGAAAATTTTCTGGGCTGTCTCATAGTGTGGTCTCAAGTGTGGTCACTTTCTCAAGTGTGGTCAGAAGCACATAAAACCTGTCTGAGGGTTAGTGATGAAATCATATCGTCAGTTCTGGGGCAGAATACAGCAAGGAAAGACCCATGAATTGCACTGCTTCTTGCGAGTCCGGATTGCACACAAGCTCCACAGGAGGTACAGTCACTGAAAGACAATGAAATCCTCACCAAACCTGCCCAAGGCATCATCACTTCTCCAGATGCAAAAGTCAAGCTGTGAGTTCTGGCGCTGAAACTTCACTTACTTCCATATGCTAATCAAATACTGCTTCAAGCAATGTCCCAGCACTAGGGGCAGGAGGAGTGTACTGTGACAATAATGATGATGAATTTAGGAGAAAGCAGGTTGAGAAGTTAGCTAAATTCAGCTCTAACAATTTAGCTTCTTACTTGAGTGACTGTGAATTAGGCGATAAGGTTTGGCTTCTAAAGCAAGTAAACCTACAAAACCACATTCGTCACAATCTCATGTAACCTATATGTGTCAATAATCCCGTAAATCTGCCCATTTAAATATCATACATTAATGTGTCAGTGGGGAATGAAAATATAAACAAACGGGGAATAGTCTACTTAACATGTAGATGTTCATAGAAAACCACTTTACAAAAAAACTTAGTTTGAGATATAAGCAACTTCAGATCACAAACGAATTCAATGGCTTGTCATAAAGTTCCTAAGTAACATTTGAACATAAAAGTGGTTAAAACAATACAATTCTAAACAACTGGAAATGCATCATTTCAAAAATTTTTCCTTGCTGTTGTTTGCATAAACTATTAAGAAAAAAGCTACAAAGTGTCCAGTGTTTGTGGTAAAGTTTTGAAGTGCCTACTGTCCCGTGGACTCAGGATCAGCTCAGGTGGAGCAATGTCCCTGTCACTTAAACTTCATTTGTTTCCCTCATGTCATCTAAACCTCACAAAGTAACCTTTTACTGCAGAGCGATTTTTTAGGAAAGTTGGACTATGCACAGGGAACACAATCACACATACTCGCACATTTGCACATGGGCGAGAACACACACACACACACACATGGGAGTGAATAATGTCACTCCCATCACCTGCTGGCGTTTAAATTAATCTGCGAAGCAACTTTACAGGCAGCTTTCAAAGCCAGTCTCTCCTGGGCCATCCCTTTTTCTGTGCGCTTATTTCCTGTTTTCCCATGCTTTCATTTTCTAACCTCCCTGATTAACTCTTTTGTATTTCACTTTAGTTTTTATCTCATAAACTTCAATTCTTCCTAAGAACCCATTTAAATATTTATTAATTTTATTTTCCGTGTGTTTTGCTTGAGTGTGTATCTCTGTGCACTGGGGGAGGGAGGGTGGGAATCTCATGCTCTCGACAGCCTCAGATTCCCTGCAACAAGAGTTCAGATGGTCGTGAGTGGCCAAGTAGGTGCTGGGAATTGAACTCAGCTCCTTTGGAAGCTTTCCACGTTCTTAACCATGGAGACCTCTCTCCAGCCCTGCCCTAAAGTCTCAGCTCTTTCCACGTTCTTAACCATGGAGACATCTCTCCAGCCCAGCCCTAAAGTCTCAGCTAAAAGCCCATTTGTTGTGTTGCAGTGCTGAAGCCACTAGGCAAGAGCCTCACAGCTCGGTTTCAGAATGAGGTCATCACTTCCACTTCTCCTTCCGTGCAGCATTTCCCGGCAGGAATCTGATTCAGTTGTTTTATTCCAGAGTCGTGGGAGACACAGACATGAGTCAGCATTTGTCATAACCGGGCAGTTGAAATAATCGTCACTTCCTGGAATTGAGTTTTCATCTTCTAAATGGATTTTCCTGTTATTAAAAACTTAACTGGGTTTACTTCACTGCTTTTCTTTGCTTTTCCTAGGACTGACAGAACACCCTATTTAAACAGCCTTTCCCTTTATTTTGAGTAGAATTGAAGAGTTGCAGCTGGTTGTAGGTGAGCTTTCCCTTTGTTAAAAACATTGTTTCTATATGCTTACCTGACTATATGCACACACACACACACACACACACACACACACACACACACAAAGAGGCTAGCGGAATTGGTGTTGTCTGTAAATGGCCATAGCAAACTGGAACACTGTTTCTCTTCCGTCAAAATGAGGGCAAGTGCTCAGCTGCTTTCTGCTGCTCTGAGACAATGCTGAAGTCAGAGGAACTCCATGGCAAGGTTTAGTCCCTGCGGTGGGGGTTACAGGGTGTCCTGCCAGCATCAGCTTGGCTTTGGAGACAGCTTGTGAGGGAAAGATCACATCTCAGAGCAGGAAGCTGGACCAGAGGCCAGGCTCACTGTCACAAATCATTTTCGTGAAACCCCAGAGGTCAAATGAGAGCTACATTAATCCCTTCTAAAGGCCTGTCTCCCAATATCCTAAGCAACTCCTCTTATGTCCCTTTTCTGATAGGACTGGTCACCTCTCACATCACAGCACTGGAGACCAACCTTCCCAACCTATCTTGGGAAAACACAGTTGGAATGTGTCCAGGGAGTTTCTCTCAAGTTGGCCAAGCAATGGGGAAATCTCTCTACAGGGTCTGGAAAGAGGATTATGTAGAAAGAAATTCACATATGGAGAACTTTCCTCCCAGGTGTTTCACTAGCTGAATCCATCCCTTTTTCTCTGAGAGGGGTTTGTTTCATCGTCTTTGCTAACATATGAATCCCCAAGCCTGGTCTTATGGCCAATGTGTCACACAGTGGAGACCACACTGCTTTTGCACAGTGACTTTCTTAATCATTTTCCCCATCACCTCTACATTCCTATCTAGAAGCTTCCTTGGAGTAAAGCAACGGAGCAAAAGACACATTGCCACTTTATCACAAATACCTTTCAGCCAAACATATTTGCTACCTACTGCTCTGGTAGATGGTTTGCCATATGACAAGATCTCACTTACAAAACATAGTGATAATTTCATATATTCTATGTGTGTTTAGACTTTAGGACTTAAGTGGAAGATACGATACTCACTATTTTTAGCTTCGTTTATAAAAATGTGTAATTTTATTACATATTTGTGTGTAGGAAGATGTTCCTGAGTATAATTGTTATGAATCCTCATTATATAGTTAAAGAAATTTCTTTTGTTTCTCCTTACCAAGAAGAGTCAGGGTTCACGGACCGAGGTCCTTGCCTTAGATGAATGAAGCAATGGTCAGCTCCATCCATTTGCACTGACCAAAGGCTCCAGGTGGTCCTGTTTGACGTACTTTCCCTGTGAGTGCACCTGCCCATCATCCCAGAGCAAGATGCTCACACAGCAGGGACCCTAAACAGCTGGAGCTTTGTCCCGACTCCAACACACACAGGAGACTGTGTGGCAACCACAAATCTTCCCGCGTTTATTATGAACTTGAAGTATAAGGAAATGTTTTGCCTGTAAGATTTCTCCGGGTGCTCTGTTTGTTTGCCAGCTTCAGTTTGATTGAAAAGCATGAGGCTCCTGGGTTAATTTTGAGCATAAAACCAAATAAGGTTAATTTCATAACAGGGACATATCAGTCACACTCATCTCCTCGATGCCATATGGCTTTTGGATAATTGTTAAGCAGGAAGCTACCATGAGGACAATGAAACCTAATGCAGCTTATGGGCAAAATCAACAACCTTAAGAGACAAAAACAGCAGAGCCTTCCTCCTGCCACTGTATGTGTTTCCTTCCTCTCGCCTCACATCCTCCCACTGCCAGGGGTTTAAGAATAACATGGAAACTCACGTTTTTATGGTTCACACACTTCATGAGGACCAGCTCCCGGTAAGCCCTCTTGGCATGAGTTTGGTTCTGGAAGGGTCTGCTGAGCTTCTTGATGGCCACATTTCTGTCGAGGACTGCATCGTACGCAGCACTGTCAAGATTTGAAAGCAGTCTGGACGTTAGAATGCAGCACGGACAAGGAAGACAGCACTCGGCAGTCCTACCCGGACGCTTAGGTTACACGTCAATAAAGTCATGAGGAAAAGTACGAGTGACTGGAAGAAGATGGAGAGGGGGAAGGACGGGGAAGAGGAAGGAGAAAAATAGTACATTACCGGAATGCAGCTTCAAACTACATAAGTTGGGAAATTGGGAAATGAAAGACAAGTGCTCAGATTTTCCATAGTGCACGTGATGATGGTAAATTATTCCATCTACCTGAGCTTGAATTTCTCACCTGTCAATATACTATTTTACGTGGTCTCTATCTGACGGACAGTAGGTTCTTTGATTATTTGAGATGTACTTTCTGCTCTTTCTCCAGTGACAAGATCCAGTTCTTCCAGTCTGATGGTAAATGCCATGAAAGCGTAGGCTGATCAACCCTCAGAGTGTATTCATGAACTACAACGGGGCTCACAACAAGATATGTCACCAGAAGGTGCTCCTGTGCCACGCTAACTACTCAGTACCAAGAGAGAAGTAAATGCTACCAGCACATGAAGGCTTCAAGCCAGTTAACAATAAACTATCATGCTGTCAAAGAACAATCTAACGTCATGGGACTGTTCCTCACACAGCCACACGAGAACGTGAGAGGGGCCTCCTTGCTCCGTCATCTCATGATACATACCCGTAAGATGCTTTTATTGCATACAAGGAACTTTGGGGGTTCATGAGTTGAGTCTGTTTTCAGGATAAGTAAGCAAACCAGGATCCCTAAAGCTGATCACTTAAATTTACAGTGCTGTTGGCCATTTAGGGTTCAAGCTGTTAAATCAAGAGACAAAGAAGAGTGGGACCTTCTATAGTGATGTGAGGCAGAATGAAAGGTAATGAGAGACTCACAGGGTGACTTGGATGAAGTAACCTGGATGAAGCTTTGTCTGTTCGCCTAGCGCACCCCTTCATTTGATCTTTGCTTTCTCTACAGAATCTCCTTCAAAAGCTTGTCTTTTCTCTGCCTATGTTCCTTCAATGTCAGAGCTCACCAGGAGCAGGCCAGCTCCTTCTGTTGGTGGGCAGCTCTGAGAGTAGACGTGCCATGATTCTAACAAAGATAGTCATCTCTCTGTGGTCACCAATCACTCCTGTTCGTCCTGTGCTCATAAGAAGTCTTCGCTTTGTTATGATTGACCCCTGAGTCCAAAATCCTTCAATGGGCCAAAAAGATCCTCAGAAAGTCAGCTTTTGCTCCTCACCCCAAAGCCCGTTCTTTCTTCATCTGAATATCACCAGTGTCCTCACACCACTCGTCAGTACGTAGTTTCTAGTCCACCTCCATCTGGCTTGTTTCCTCTGAATATACTTCAGTCTCTCAGTATTCTAAGAGCATGTGGTCCTGAACTAAATAAAGCAACGCTGTTCTGGAGTGCCAGTGAAATCCAGGGTAGGGCTATCCAGTCTTTCATACACTCACACGCTCACTCAGGAATCCTATCCCACAGGAAATAAGGCTGTCTATCCTGGTCTCTTCGATGATCTTATCTATGGACCCACTTTTTACCTACATTGTGTTAAAAGAGAAAAAAGAACACATGGGTTGTTGAGATGGCTCCACAGGGAAAATGAATCGCTGCAAAGCCTGGTGACTCCAGTTTGAATCCCGGGGCCCACATGGTGGGAAGAGAAAACTAACTCTAGCAAGTTGTCCTCTGACCTCTACATGATTGCTCCTACCACACGCAAAGTTAATAAATGTAATAATTTTAACTGTGCTTTTAAAACCATTATGTTACACATTTTAGTATTTGTACTCTACGGCTAGTATGTTACTTGTATCCACCAATGAGAGTAGAGGCAGAGGAAGGTGTATCATGTCCTGGCAACTTACAAGCAGTGCAAGGAAAATGGTGGGCTTGTAAATACAAGATTTCAATTTAAAACTCAAGATAATGGTAGCAATAGGAACTGATCACTCACTTCACAGAGAGTCTGAAAATCTTAAGTCAAGTATAAGTTAGTTAATATTTTCAAATCTCCAAAATAAATAGATAGAAAATAAATATGATATCTTGGAGTCAGAGTAACAAATGATGGGACTTCCGGTGAATTCCGGGGGCCTCTGAGGTCAGTCTAGAGATGCAGTCATCCAGGAGGGCACATGGTGATGGCGACAGTCGGGTCCCATGACCAGCTCTCACTCTGGTCATCCTCAGCTGACCTTGTCCTCTGTAGTCAATGCTGCACTTCAGGAGGCTCACCTTTTGATGTTGCCTGACAATATATTGCCCACATTTGGCCAGCTTGGCTGTTAATTCTCTCACTCTTCAATAAATCTGTATCTGTTTTTACAGAGGTTCTCTTCCTGCCCTGGGGCTGCTTTCCAGCAGCCCACAAAGTCAGGAGGGGCGGGGACAAGAAGTGTGCCTGGACTGGAATCACACACCCCAGGAACAGCTGATGGCTAGTTCATCTTTAATTCCAGAGAACAAAGGCTATACATCCCCTAAAGGGGGGGGGGCCCCAAGGATAGGTGAACATAATTGGTTGGAACCAGGCACTTCAAGGATGCTTGGTTTGCATTATACAGCATACTCCAGTCGTAAGAGTAGAATGTCAGTACTTGATTAACATACAGGCACAGGCTGGGGCAGGGGGAGGGCTAGCAGGGAGCTGTGTCAGAGGCCATATTTCAAGTGTGGCTAGGGGAGTCTGCATCTAGAGACACTTTCTAGATGAAGTCAGGCAGAGAGCACAGGATCCTGCAAGGAGGAGGGAGTTCTGCCTTTAGCGCTGAGCTCATAAAGGCTATCCGGCTATCCGGTAGGTCCAGGCAAGAACTGCAACCTCATCCAGCAGGGTACCTCCAACCTAGGAGAAAGTAGTTAGGCTTGCCTGCCCACAGGAGATTAAATCCCTGAGGTACTAACCTGATTATGCTGACAGCGGGCCAATCCCCAGGGTCCAGGGAAAATAACTGAAGAAACACCAACCCCTGGGTTTCTGGACAGGCGACTGGCTGGCTAGTTTCTCTCGACACTGTAGTGTGCTCTCCCTTCCTCTGGTCTCTTCCTTGATGCAACTCCTGCTTAGAATGTCAGCCCTGCTGCTCACTAGTGCTCTCGCAAGAGAGCAGTGCACGCTCTCTAGGTCGGTTTCTGCCCACTCACATCAGAAGCAGCACCATCCTGACAAGCTCGCTCTAAGAGTGAAGGGATGGAGCTGCAGTGCCCTGGAGAGTGTGAACACCCAGGAAATGACACCTAGTGCTAGTCTTAAAGTAAGCGTCCTTGTTGGGTTTATTATGCAACACAGTCGGGATAAACTATGAATTTTTATATCACACGTAACAATTAACCACCAGAATACTAGTTAGCACCTTCTAGCTTTCCCATTAATTATAAATTAATTTAACCACCAGGCCAGCTTGACCATGTTTCTGAAGTTGGCCTCATAGCATAAAAGAGTAGGGAGAAGTCTTGTCAAAATCTACATACACCGTAACCATAAAGATCTCCGACTTTCAACGTTATTAGCTTGTTTGGGTTTTTAACGAAACAATGTTCACTTCACGTTTTCTTAAAGGCTCACAGTGTTTTCCTTTTCATCAATGTCAAGTTCAGTTGGTGCCTCTTACAACCTCTTTTCTCCAACCGATTAACAATCTTGTCTGTCTCTACTTGTGTGGAATATTGTGGGTTGGCTCATTGGATATTATTTGACCCTTTTGTATAACTTTCTTGTGTGAAAGAGACTTCAAAGTTAAATATCGAATTGGGATTCATTTGTAGCTAGCACACTGGATTCCAAAGGGTCCTGTAGAGGCCCAGGAAAGCCTTGTCAGGCAGAGCTAGGGTGGTAGCCATCTTCTGCCATTGTTCGGTTGGCAAACTGGGTTGGCAGAGAAGATGTGTGGGTTTTCTCTGAGGCAGTGATTGGTGTCATCCTCCACATTCCAGGTTGTCAGGAGGCAACAGAGGCCTCCAGGGTTCAGCCCCTCATCCCTGATATGGTGGAGAAGTAGCAGCAGCCACCCAAGTCCCTGCTTCCAGCTCAAGATGCCCCAGCTTCAGAGATGAGTATGTATTCTGGAAACATGGTAGTTTGGGGGGCCTTCCAGAGTTGGGAGCTCCCTGGAGATTCAGCTCTCCGGTTCCCAGGAAGACTTCCAGGAGGCCCAGACAGAAGCCCACTTCTCTGGGTGTCCACTGATTGAGCGAGCACATGTGTTAAACCTCTATCTGCCGAAAAAAAATATTTCTCCTTTCTTGTACCATGGAAAACCCCCATTATTTGCACTGCCGCCATCATTACTGGCAGTGGTCTAACAAATACACCTGCAGACCAGTACTGTTGATGCTGCACAGTTAAACCAGTGTCTGAAGGTTTTCCTTTCCTGTGAAGTCATTTTTAATTCATGGCCATGTGATCTTGTTCCCTCCCCCTTCTCTATGTAGATAAAAATGGAAGCACATCTCTATGGAGATACCCAAGCTACTTCCTAGAATGTTTGCTAAAGAACCGTAAACACCATGGTGGCACAGGCTGCTGACCCCTCTCTGCTATTACCAGGTCAGTTCACCAAAGGAATACACAAACATCTGTTGCTGTGTTCCTACCACTTAATCCAGCCATATGAAGCTATAAGGCTATGCTTGCCTCTGTGGAAATTTATGTAAACATGTGTGTGTGTGTGTGCGCGCGCGCGCATGCGCGCGCGCGCGCGCACACACATACCTGCCGGCAAGTTCTATTCTCAACATTTTCAGTTGTATCTTTTTAGAACAATCTCATGTACCTGCTGCACTGATCTTTCTCCCCAGGAAGAATTGTTTATTTGAATATTTTTTCTTGTCCCCTTCCCTTCAATATGTAAAATGTTCTTAATCATATGAGGTGGCAAGGGTGAATCCTCATGTGCTGCCTCTCAAACAATAACAAAAAAGCACCATTGGTTCATCGTAAAGCTCCTGCTACATCACCTGACCA